TATCAGAGGTGGAACTGAGATTATGAGGTGGAAGATTGCCTTGGTCAGTTTTCCCAAAGGCGTTAGAGGGGAGAAGCTCCTGGACCAGAGATGAACATAAAGGAAAACAAGGTAGCTAGGCCAGAGAGGCTGAATCTCTGTAGAGTAGCGTTAACTGGTCTCTCTCTTCCTGTGACTCCCGTACAGCCTCAGCTATATGTCCCAGTCCTGCTGGTGAACTGAGTGGTTCTAAGGTCCTGTGACGGGCTGGGCAGGGAAGCTTCTGGCTGGGGAAGGGGGAGCAGAGCTTAGAGCTCTGGAAGAAAGACACACTTTTCCCTAACTTCTCTTCTAAACACCACTCCTTATAGTTTTGACTCCAGAAACAAAGCAATGACACGTTAAAATTGTTGTTAAAACTAGACTTGAAGGGGTGTGCTCACAGCATCAGCTGCTCAGGAGGCCGAGATGGGATAATCATTGGAGTCCAGGAGTTTGAGTCCAGCCTGGGCAATGTTGTGCGATCCCCATCTCAAAACAGTACCAGGAAAGAGAATAATGAACACAGACCAGATTAGCTGTGTTGTGAACTTTGCTGAATCTCAACCCCAAGTTCTTATCAGGTCATCCTTGACTTTACCTGGAGCCTAGTTTAGTAGTAATCACAGCTTGACAAAGTGACTCTGATCTCTGGACTGCCTGTGCTTTCTTCACTGGCTGGCACTTCAGTGCTATCGACTTGCCTGCTTGTTTCCCTTCAGCAATTTGTCTATTTATTTAAAACTGAATTGAACTTTTTTATTACATTATTTAGTGGTGTGTGTGGGGGGGTGTGGGTGTGTGTGTGTGCACACACGTGCGTGCTACCATACACATGTAGAGGTCAGAGGACAACTTGTTGGAGTCAGTTTTCTCTTGCTGGGCAGGTCCTGGGACTTGAACTGAGGTCATCACTCTCTGAAAACACTGTCTGGTTCTTCTTTTCACTGGCAGACTTTCTGAAGATGTCCATGGGTGTCACATTCACCCGTTTCTGCCGCAGTCCACTTTTCATTCAGATATTTTCCTGTAAATAGCTCTCCCAGAAAGAACCAGTCTCTTCTTCATTGCTAAATCTAGAATCTTCTCATTTGTCAGGCTACCCAATTTCCTGTTATTGAATACCATTGACCTCCCTTCTTAATAAGATCATTTATCTTTTTGGCTTCTCCTTAGCTTTCTAGCTGTTCCTATTAAGTCCACCATTTCCTTCTGCCTGCCCTAAAAGAGTGACTGTTCTGGCTTCATGGTTAGAAGATGGCAAGCCTGGTGAGGAGGGGTGGGGATAGCAAGATAGTAGCATGAGCTATGTAGATTACAGGGTGAGAGTTCTGAAAAGTTTTCCAGAGCCTCTGTGTGGCATCTCAATGCAGGTCCCCTGTGACGAGTTTTGGGTGGACTATCCTTCCTGGGAAAATCTCCACATACACACATTATTTTTTTCTATTAAGACTTGAACCTACCATTAGCTGCTGAGGCATTTAGAACTCTTCAGTCTTCAGAGTCCTACTGAAATCATTAAAAGATTGTGTAAACACAGGCAAATCATATCATTGTAGGAAGCCCACTACAGGCATTAACTGCATACCAAGAACCTGGAGAAACTTTTGCTTGCAAAAGAAACAAACAGAAAGTCCTGGCTTGAAATGGGCACAGAGGATAGTCATGAGACAAAGCAACTTCTCTGGGAAGACTCCACTGCCTGTCAGAACCCACCCACTACCTCCAACTTGGAGAGAGAAGATTCTGAAAAGAAGGTTGAGGGAAGGAAGGAAAATCCAGCATACAGGCTTTTCCTGTTTTTTTTTTTTTTTTTTTTTTTTTTTTTTTTTTAATCAGGGCCTTATTCTGTAGCCCAGGCTGGCTTCGAGCTTGTGGCATTCTTCCAGCCACCAGTACTGAGAGATCTTTACCCTTTACTCAACACCATTTGACTCTGGGTTGAGTAACTTTCATTTCCTTCTTTATTTCTTCCTTCAAGTTGGAGTGGAGTTTTCCACATTAACTACTAAGTGACAGAACTTCAGATTCTGGCAGATCCCAAAGCTCCTTCTCCCTTAGTGGGGAAAGTTTTCACACTTTGTAAATAGGCTCATTGAAAAAGCTCATGAACACTTTTGCTGCTGGACATGGTGCCCACTAATGTTATATTCAGTTAATATTTCCTACCTCTTTTGGCTGTTCTTTTCCACCTGTCACTTGTAGATGCAGGCAGCAAGCATGTGAGAGGGTTTGTTGTCTGTACCTGGAAAACTCCCATACTAAACACTTGGAGGTAAGGGGCAAGGTATCAAGTTTCACCCATTTACCTGTTAAACTTCTCAATTCAGTTTCTAGTTATAACTAATGCTCAAACTTTACCACTACATAGGGTCAAAAAGCTTGCTGCTGTTAGCTGGACAATGGGCCCAAGATCCAGAGATCATGGACACTTGCCCATATATTTCTATAAATTGCTTCTTGATTAGTTTAAAGAGATGAGAAAGTTTGTTTTCTCTTTCTGCTTCAGAACACTTCTTATTTATGGCTTTTTTGTTGTTTTCTCTTCCAAACCAGAGGTTCTGCTCTGAGCTGGTATTCTAGGTTATTCTTTGTTAATGGGGTTTTAAAAGTATTTTTAAGTGATTTCCTGAAGTACCCACTGAACTTTAGTTCCCAGGAAATGGTGGATTTGTGGTCAAGAGTGATGACTGAGATCCCTAGGCCTGTGATTTACGTCTATGCTTGGACTATGTATCCTCTTATTTTGCAATGGCTTTGCTCAACTAGTATTTAATTGGATGTTCTTTTGAACCGGCTTCACCTAGTATAATAGGAAATACATGGCGTATTTAAAACTAGATAATTAGAGGAGAGTTTATTTAACAAAGAGACCATTACATGCAGACAAAATATGACATATGTATGAAAATGTCATAACAGGGGCTGGAAAGATGGCTCAGTGGTTTAGGGCACTGACTGCTCTTGCAGAGGACCCAAGTTCAGTTCCCAGCACTTACACGGTGGCTAAAACCTTTTTAACTCCAGTTCCAGGGATCCAACATCCTCTTCTGACCTCTGCCAGCATTGCGTGACACAGGTGCACTTATATACATATAGACAATATACTTATACACATAAAATAAAAATAAATAGCCAGGCGAGGTGGTGCACACCTTTAATCCCAGCCCTCAGGAGGCAGAGGCAGATGGATCTCTGTGAGTTCAAGGCCAGCCTGGTCTATATAGTAAGTTCCAGGCCAGCTGGGGTTACAGGGAGATCCTGTATCAAAAAATAAAAACAAAACCAACCCCCACAACCTGCTTCCAAATTTAATTAATTAAATTTACAAAAGAGAATGCCATAATGAAACCCTTTACTATGCATACTAATGTAAAAATTAATTAAATTAGAAAGGAGAGGAGACACGTACTGCTCTTGTAGAGGACCAGAATTTGGTTCTCAGCACCTATATGTTGTAGCTCACAACTGCCTGTAACTCCAGCTCCAGGTGATCTCATGCCCTCTTCTGGCCTCTCAGTGCACACCCACCTACATATACACATAACAACAAAGAGGCCATTTAAAAACTGTGTGAGATAAGAGTGGAACCATGAGAAAGGATGGTGCAAGAACCTAAGGCTTGAAACAGTGAACACAAGCTGTTCCTAGCCTAAAACGGACAACATAATGATGTCCTCGGGTACTGATACCTGTAAGCAAGCCTCCTGATTTGCTATTTTATCTACTAAGCATGGAAGGTAGCAGAGTGCTTGAGATCCTAAACATCCTCCTGAGCTCATTGGGTAGATGATCTGATGGAGAGGAGGATAGTTTCCTTCCTTCCCCTCCTTCCTGTATCTGCTAATATACACCCAGCTCATGCAGCCCAGGGCTGGGATCTCTGCAGAAGATAAGGGGTAGAGGGAAGAATGAAAGGCAAAGATATAGGGGCTGAGGTTTGGCAGGTTCAATCCCAAGTAGAAAAAATATGTTATATATGAGTGACATGGAGTATGTTAGATGACAGAATGACAGAGGCACCAATAGAGAAAGAACCACAAAACTCTGTGGCCAACACTCCAGGGCATTTATTTGGTGACTGGTCTCATCCCTGGCTAAGCTGTTCTACCTCAGCACCATAGTCAGAAGGGATCTTATTCTAAGAGTTTAGAAATGAGAGTTTGGGACTCATGTCGCTGCACTGTGCCGAGGATGCTTAGGATTGGCAAAGACAGACAAGTCTAGGGCCAGATAAGGTGCAGCCTGGGGTGATGGTTAAGAGCTTAGATTCAGAAGCCAGGCCATTGGAGTAAGAAACTGTTTCTGCTCCTTACAGACTCTGTGATGTTGGGAAAGTCACTCAACTTCCCTGTTTTCAGTTTCTGCATCTATAAAATAGAAGCAACAGTGATCACCTCTAGGGTTATTAGGAAGAGTCAGTGAGTTAGAGTTTGCAAAGCTCTTTGAACCTAAGCACATGGAAAGCACTATACAAACTGAACTTGAAAAGCTTTGCTTGGTGGGCATCTTCTCTTAGGCCCCTCAACACAGGGGTTCTCGATGTTGGTGTTGTTTTCCTTTCTGTCTGCAAATGCACACACAGATGATTATTAAAGGTATTGGCTTTGTGTGGTTTTAGGAGGGGGTGACCATATTGCTCCTAAGAATGGACCCTCTTCTGAGTATGGAAGCTGAGCACTATCTATCCTTTGGGAACAGAGAAAGAGTAAATCCATGGCATGACCATTGTCTTCTTCTGTGGTGGGAAGTTACCATGGATATCGTTAGTCTAGGCGAGTAGAGTCTTTCTGATCTGCTGCACAGGGACAAGGTTCGATCTGGCCTTTGGGGCCTTGCTGGGATACTATCTACCCACTGGCTGAATAATTTTCTTCATTGATTAAGAGCAAATTCTGCCTTTGGCAAAGTAATTCAAGTTCTGAGAACGGGCACTAATGAGATAAAGTAATTCTTGTGCTGTCATTTTGGGTTCTTATTAGGAGACATCTACAACCTTTCGTTAAGGCAAGAAGTTTCTTGGAGAGACATACCAGCTTATTCAAGAAGATCCTGTTAGGCCTGTTGTGTTTAGGTAAGACCATAGAATTCATGGAAGGGGGAAACAGAACATTTTTTAGAAAAATTAACTTACGTCAAGATGATTACTGGGGGACTGGAAAGCTGGCTCAGTAGTTAAGAGCACTTTTTTGCTCTTCACGCCCTTCTATAGGATATAAGCTCACGTCCCAGCACTGACGTGGCAGCTAACAGCTGTCTGTAACTCCAGTAACATGCAGGCAAAATGCTCATATACAGAATGAAAAAAATAAAGATGATTACTGGGAGGAAAATAACTTTACTCGTCAATTCGCCTAAAGACTGTTTGATACACAGATCTTAACTACTTGTTGGCAATCCATTATTTATTGAATTGCACTTAGAGGAATAAGTGAAACTTGAAGGTACTATAGTTTGAAACTGTATT